TCATGAATGTTAATTTATGTTAATTTGTCGTTTAACATTGTTGTTGTATTGTTATTGTCGTTATGTCGTTACCACCAATTAAAATATCAATAATAAAAATGCTACATCATCATCAGCACTTCCGACGACTGTGTCAACAACAACCAAGGCTACAACAACAACAACTACTACTACTACTACTACTACTACTACTGCTGCTGCTGCAACTGCTGCAGCTACTACCACTACTACATCATCATCGTCACTTGACAAAACGATTCAACTCAACATCACCAACAACACACATGAGCAGTGGTCTATAAAGAGGCCATGCGGTAGTGAGGAGGTTGATGATGATTCGCTTCCATGTCTGACCACCGCTGCTACTACTGCTACTGCTGCAGCTGCAGCTGATGACGACGGATTCGCTCCGGAATATGATGATAATGCTCCTGACGACGATGTGACTGGCAGACGAGGGGGGGCTGAAATTGAAGAAGACATCCGCGTTCTTGATTCTCTGAATTCTTTTAAAAATTCTTTGGTTGGTGTTTTTCTCTCTAATTTTGTTTCGTTTTCTGATAATATCTTCCTTGCTTGTTAGTTTATAATAATAATAATAATAATAATAATAATAATAATAATAATAATAATAATAACTATTATTAATTATTATTATATGGCATAATCAATTTTTACATTGTTGTAATTGATATTATTATTTTAAGTCCCGCGGATTTAGAGTCCAATCAGAATTGGAGGAAAGCGTGGTCAAAGGGCGCTGGGTGAGCCCTGTATGATTTTTGATTGATTGATTGATCCATTCATTCATTTATTCATTCATTCAATGATTTATTATATAAAACTATATATTTTTTTCTTTTCACTGAACAGATGACGTCACCATCGTCGTCATCCCTCCCTGAATTCAAATCCAGCCTGGCCAGCCTGGCCAATCACATTCACTACATGAGGAATTCAACATGGCGGCACGATGACATCATCAACATCACCGCCGTCCTGCATAGCGTCGTTACCGGATTGGACGAGAGGCTACAGGGTCTGAACCAATCAGAGAGAAGCTCAGTTTCCGTGAATGTTAACGAGGTGGTTAGCGTGTTATATTATAATTGATAGTAGACAATCATGTATATTGATATTATAATTGATAGTAGACCTATAAATTTGTTTCATGAACGTTAGCTAGATTTTTTAACCATTGAAAAGCTAGAATTTAACAAATTTATCGTGTTTATTATTATTATTATTTATATTATTATTATTATTATTATTGTTGTTGTTGTTTTTATTGTTATTATTATCACAAACACACAGGCCGTATTGAGAGTTAGTGATGTTTTGCTGTCTAAAACCAACTTAGATAATTGGATGACAAACAACAACAACAATGACAACAACAATAATGATAATAATAATACTGAAACAACGCATAATGGTTATGATGACGACGATGATGATGCTGTGATGGGCGGAGTCTTAAAAATGATTGACAGCATCGAAAAGTCCTCATTTATTAGGGCCAAATGGAATTCTGTGGGTAGCGGATTTAGGTACAATACAGCAAATATTTGTGAGTTTTCGTCATAATTATTACTGATATAATTAAATAATTGGCTTTATTATTATTATTTATTATTATTATTAATTATAATTAATATTATTTCTTATATTTTTTGCGCAGTTGTCAATATGAGCATAGTGAATGCAAGTCACGAGCAGATGGCAAAGACTCCTATAAGTTTTTCAAAAAATGGAAACCACATCCTGATTGGAGGGGAAACTAGCCAATCAGAGGAAGAAGTTCCAATTGGCCGGAAAGTTGTTGACGGGGGAGGAGCTAGCAATGGTAATGGTTTGTCTATATTGGTCAGTTTTAAAATTTAATTTAAAAGTATTTTTTCCTCAGACGTGGTGCCTTCTTACGTTTTGTTCATTTCATACGCAAACCTGGAGGTCCTCTTGTCTAGAGTCCACAATCAGAAGAAAATATCCCCAAATGCTTTAAATAGCCTGCACTCAAAAACGCGAGCAGATCAGTTTCAGTTTGGGTCGAAAATACTTTCATTATCTATAAATGGAAACGACGGAATCCCCAAGAATCAGTCTGTGACACTCGTTTTTAAAAATGTTGGTCCTTCATGTTTGGCACATTTTAAAAATAATTATACTTATTCAATAGAATTCAATAGAATGAGAAAGTAACTCCTTTCATGAATATTTTGTCCTTAAGTAATGAAACAAAGATGATGGTAAGCAGTTAGTTTTTGACACAAGCTTATTCATATACGCTGTGTGTGTTTGTCGTTGAAACCTCTGAAGCTAACGCAAAAGAGAGAGAGAGTAACCTAACCTTTAACCTATTTATTTATTTATTTTAAAAGGTGGATGAGCATCAAGAGGGCGATAGAGTTGAATCTGATCAGCCACGTCATCATCAGTATCTCTACCACAGGCTTTCTTGCTCATATCTACAAATTTCAGACGGATTGAAGGGTGGAGAGTGGATGAATGATGGGTGCCATTTGGTCTCTTCCAATTTAACACATACCACGTGCAATTGCAAACATCTAACTAATTTCGCTCTGCTCATCAACGTCGTGCCTTATGACGTTAGTGGTTTCTTTCTCTCACTCTCTCTCTCTCTCTCTCTCTCTCTCTCTCTCTCTCTCTCTCTCTTTCTCTCTTTTTCTCTCTCTTTCTTCCTCAATAAATAGATAAATGAATGAATGAATGAATTATTGAATGAATGAATAGTTGAATGAATTAGTGAATAATTCTATTGGCTGACTGAATGAATGAATGAAAACAGGCATATAAACTTTCACCCACTCACGAAACGGCCTTGAAAGTGTTGACCTTCATTGGATGCACGATTAGTATCATCACTCTCGCCCTCTCTTTCATCATATTCTCTCTTGTCAAGTTTGTTGTTGTTGTTGTTGTTGTTGTGGTTTGTTGTTGATGATGACGATGTTCAGGTTTTCGTTGTCGTTATCGTTCTTAATGTTGACTCCTCCCACTGATTCAGATCCATCCAATGCGAACGCAACACCATCCACAAGAACCTATCAGCTTGCTTGTGCCTCGCCGAGATCGGCTTCCTATTGGCTATATCCAGTAATAACTCCTATGTAAGTCGACCAATCAAAAAAACTTTAAACTCATTTACTGTTCATTTATTATTTTAATTAATATTTTGGAGTTTTACTTATTTTTTTTTAGAAAGTGATTGGTTGATTGATTGATTGACTGACTGACTGACTGGCTGATTGATTGATTGATTGATTGATTGATTGATTGATTGATTGATTGATTGATTGATTGATTGATTGACAGAGCCTGTGCAAAGTGATAGCCCTGATGTGCCACTTCCTCTTCCTCTGTTCTTTCAGCTGGATGTTGATGGAGGGCATTCAACTCTACCTCATGCTCATCAAAGTTTTTCAATCCAAGAAATCCAGGATTGCCTGGATATATGCTGTTGCATACGGTTGGTCGGTTGGCTGACTGGCTGATTGACTGGCTGGTTGATTGATTGATTGGCTGGTTGGTTAGCTGATTGGCTGACTGTTTGATTGGTTTGGTTATTGTTATCATAATTTTCATTTTGTCATCCAGGCGTTCCCACGTTGATCATCATCATAACTGCCAGTGTGAATCTCAATGGATATGGAACCGAAAACTTGTACGTTGTTGACGTTGTTGTTGCTGTAGTTGATGATGATGATGATTACGATGATGATGATGATGATGATGGTGGTGATGATGATGGTGATGATGGTTGTAATGATGATAGTGACGACGATGATGATGGTGATGGTGATGCTGGTCATAATGATGATAGTGACAACGATGATGATGACGACGATGATGTTGAATTTGCAGTTGCTGGCTGAGCAGTGAGACAGGAATGAGATGGGCGTTTGTTGGGCCTGCCATATCTGTGATCGTGGTTGGTGATCGTTCGTTCGTCCGTTTGTTCGTTCATTTATTCCTTTTTTCGTTCATTCATTCGCTCATTCATTCATTTATTTATAATTTATTTAAATCATTTTAATTTGAAATCTCTGTGAGTTTTGTGTTTGGTCGTGAGGCGTGATTGAATTAATGAACTGATGGAGAAATAATTTGATAGAGAATGAATGAACAAATGAATGAATGAAAGAATGAATGAATGAATGAATGAATGAATGAATGAATAAATGTATGAATGAATGAATTAATTAATTAATTAATTAATGATAATGAATGAATGAATGAATGATAATGAACGAATGATAATGAACGAACGAACGAACAGTTGAACTTGTTCTTGCTAATGATGGCGACGTACGTGATGTGCAGGCACTCCAATAGCCTCAGCAGTAATAAGGATAGCACGCTCAAACAGATAAGGTCAGTGCTCTTAATAGTCAGTGAATTCCAATTTCATAAGTTTTTTTTCTTTAATCATTATCATCGTCATCATCATCATTGATTTCTTATCATTATCATCATCATCATCATCGTCGTCGTCATCTTGTGAAGTTTTTATAATGGCTTGTATGGCGCAGGTAAACTTCGGGTAATTAGATACACTGTGTGACGAATTCGTACTTTTAAATATTTAAATTTTATGCTGCTATTTTTATACCAATAGTAATAATAACACTACTACTACTAATTATTATTATTGTTATTATTATTTTTATTGTTATTATTATTTTTATTATTCCAGCTGGTGGATGAAAGGGCTGTCGACCTTGATAGTGCTACTCGGCGTGACGTGGCTGGTGGGCGTCTTCAACATGGTTGGTCGCAGTGTTTTCCTCACCTACGTCTTCGTCATCGTCAACTCCCTACAGGGGCTGTTCATATTCATCTTCCATTGCCTCCTCAATAATAAGGTTGGAATGGGAAGTCGTATGGTTGGTTGGTTGGTTGTTTGGTTGGTTGGTTTGCTGGTTGGTTGGTTAGCTGGTTGGCTGGTTGATTTTTTGGTTAATTTGTTGGTTGGTTGATTTGTTGTTGGTAGATTGGCTAGTTGGTTGATTTGTTGGTTAGTTGGTTTTAGTTGGTTGATTTTTTGGTTGGTTGGTTGGCTGGCTAACTGGTTGGTTGGCTGGCCAGTCGGATGTCTGTGTAGCTAACAAAGATGAACTATGTTAGTGATAACGATGGTGAGAATGGCGATAACGATGATGATGATGATATTAACGATGATGATGGTGATATTAACGGTGATGATGATGACGATGATGATTATCAGGTACGAAAGTCTCTCCGAAAATGCATGTACGAGTGGTTTTCCTGCAAGCAGCAGCACGAGAAAGTTGGTGGTGGTGGTGGTTGCGTCAGCTGCTTCCAATTCAAAAACATGTCATCCTCCACCTATCCAGTTAACTCCAACTCTGACCAGAAGGTTGGTTCTTTCTTATCATTCATTCATTCATTTGGTTGATGGATGGATTGATTGATTGATGAATGGATGGATTGATGGATGAATATATGGAATGATGGATGTTTTGATGGATTGATATGGATGAAATGATGTTTTGAAAGATGGACAAACACTGTTTATTATCAGATATGTTATAATTTTTACGTGTATGCGTTCATTTGTTTATGTTCTATTCATTCATTCATTCATTCATTCATCTTATCTCTTTCCTTCCATCCGTCTTTCCTCTGGACCAACCAAACGAACAAAAAACAGACTCCAAGAAAGAAGTTTGACTGGCAGGTTGCAAAAAATAAATTAATAATTCATTCTTTGAATTCACTAAATTTAACATAAATTATAATAACTATATTACATTAAATTATTATTAAAATTTTTATTACTAATATTTTTTTCATCCATCCATCTATTTATTCATCCATCTATCTATCCATCCATCTATCTATCCATCCATCCATCCATCCATCCATCCATCAATCCATCCATCTATACATTCATCCATCCATCAATCAATCAGTCACAAAAACCAACCAATCACATCGCAGAGCGTGAGTCACTTTCTTCTTATGAAGAGAAGGTCCTTATCGACATCTGTACAACACTCTAGCCAATCAAACAAGGGTTAGTGGTTTGCCATTATTATTATTATTATTGTTGTTGTCGTTGTTGCTGCTGCTGCTGCTGCTGCTGTTGTTGTTGTTGTTGCTGCTGCTGCTGTTGTTGTTGTTGTTGTTGCTGCTGCTGCTGCTGCTGCTGCTGTTGTTGTTGTTGTTGTTGCTGCTGCTGTTGTTGTTGTTGTTGTTGCTGCTGCTGCTGTTGTTGTTGTTGCTGCTGCTGCTGCTGTTGTTGTTGTTGTTGTTGCTGCTGCTGCTGCTGTTGTTGTTGTTGTTGTTGCTGCTGCTGCTGTTGTTGTTGTTGTTGTTGCTGCTGCTGCTGTTGTTGTTGTTGCTGCTGCTGCTGCTGTTGTTGTTGTTGTTGTTGTTGACGCCATCATCATTTTATTGTTTTCTGCTCCGTCATTATTTTCTAAAATATCTTCATAACAGCCATTTGTTTGCTATTAATCTTCCTCATCATCGTCATCGTCATCTTCTTCATCGTCGTCACTCTTAACTAAGGTAGATCGTCATTAATTGATGTCACCGTTAACGTATTTATTTCAGTTGCACTGAACTACAACTCACTGAACATCAACAACAACAACATCGTCCACAATGACGTCAACCACAGCAGCCACAACCACAGCAGCCACAATAACAACAAGCATAGGTTATCGTCGTCAGCTTCGACGACAGCGGCCGTACGACCGCCATCGTCCCTCACGCTTCTCTCTCCTCATCATTATCATCCTCATTCTCATCAGAATCCTCAGACTCCACTCTCCACGTCATCATCTCTTCCGTTCTGCAGCCGCCTGAGTGACGTCACAGACTGCAGTTTCGAATGTTGCTGCGATGGCTCGAGGCTAGACCGGCAACAGTCTCTCCTCTTGCGTCATCATCAGCTCCACGTCATTAGCAACGTCAATCGCAGTAGCAACCTCGGCAGCCACAACATCCGTCGCAACAGCAACCAGCAGCAGCACATCTACAACGAGCCGCTGATGGACGAACAGGAGGATGCCTACCTGGACCCCACACGAATCAGGCTGGACCCCGACGAAGAAGTCCTCCTCAATGAAGAGTGGAAAGTTAGCATCATCGAGGGCTCGGTCGTCGACACCGATTACCTCGACGACGCAGTCGCTACTGGTGCCGCCGCTGCTCACCGCTCTGGTGGTGAAGTCAGAAACGTTTGTAGCCGTTGTGGCCAGCTCGGCGATGATGCTGGTCGTTGTCATGGTTGTAGCTATCATAGCAACGTGAATGATGACTGTTGTCGCGGGAAAAATTTCTGCAGGCACAGTGAGATGATCAGTTGCGGGGAATGTGAAGGTAGAAGATGGTGCAATAATTGTAGCTGTGGTCCTGCCGCCGCTGGTGCTACTACTGCTGCTGCTGCTACGGCTGCTGCTGCTGGAGGGAAGAAGTTGAAGAAGAAGAAGAAGATGGGAGCTGGAGGCATAAGAAAACCATCATCGTTATCTTCATCGTCCCATTCATCGTCACTCGCCAATGAAAAGTCCATCAATGAAGTCGACGATGAGGATGTCATGGCTGGCGGTAGGAAGCGCTCTACTAATAATAACGACCTTGCCGGAAACGATAATGATAATGATGATGAAGACGATGTTTATGATGATGATGACGGTGATGAGGATAGAATGACGACACGAAATGAGAAAATGAAAGCAGTTAAAATCGACGTGAGCAAATATCAACTGAGGAAACCAACTAATTCCGAACTGACAGCCAATCATCTATCTGTCGTGAGCGACGGGGGCGGAGTCTACGAAGAAATTGCCAACCTATCAGCGACAGAGGACAACGATGCAAGCAGTAATCCTATTGGCGGATTGAATTGCCACGAAAGAAACGGCCAACCAATACGAAAAGAGGTCGAAGCGAAATATTAATAACAGCTATAATTTCTCTTTCACGTTGTAATTTTCGATTATATGTATACATATATATAATTATATAAAAATATTTATGTTAATAATAATAATAGTAATAATAATAATAAAAATATAATAATAATAATAGTAAAATAATCACGTTGTATGTCACATTAATAGCAATTATTTTCTTGTGAACCACTTATAATGAGAGAAACTTTTTGTTGTTATTTTGGCTTTGTGTATGTAAATGTGCCATTGTAATATACTGTTATTACTGTTGTTGTTGTTACTATTGTTAATGTTATTATTTTTTTAGTATTATTATTATTAACTTTGTTGCCTTTGATTAATTCCATTTTAAATTCGTCCGCATTATATTATTAAGTGTTTCTACGTTTGTAAGTATGTATTGTTGTGTAGATAATGTATGAGTGTATGTATGTATGTATATATGTATGTGTGTGTGTGTGTTTGTGTGTGTGTGTATGTGTGCGTATGTATGTATGTATGCATGTGTGTTTGTCTCTGTCCTTGTTAAACCTTTTGATATGTTCCATTGTTTTATATTTTAGTTTTTAATTTGTCCACGTTGTAAGTGCAACTCATTCGTACCTTTCATTCCTTCGTTCGTTCATTCATTTTTCATTTATTCATTCTTTCATCCATTTACTCCTTCATTCGTCAATTAATTCGTTCTTTCATTTATTTATTTTATAATTTCATAATTAATTATTTATACATTATTTAATCGCTGATGTGAATATTTATTGGATAACCATTCTTAAGTCCAACCATCATCTTTTCATTCATTCATTCATTCATTCATTCATTCATTCATTCATTCATTCATTCATTCATTCATTCATTCATTCATTCATTCATTCATTTTTGCATAACTATATCATTCAATCTATCCATCCACCCCCCTCCTTCATTCATTCATCCATTTACTCAATTGATTCATTCAGCCCATCTACAAAAAGATCTACAGTGTATTAGTATTTTGGCTTTGTGCTCAATCAATCATTTTGTGTTTGTATGTACGTATATATATATATATATATATATATATATATATATATATATATATATATATATAATATATGCATACATATAATGTTTTTCTATAAATGTTTGTGTATTTTTTACAGCTTTGTATTTATGTAAATGTTGTTTGAACGTATTTTTATAATGTTTGTAAATTTTGTATTTTTATTGGTGTATATATATATGTGTGTGTGTGTGTGTGTGTGTGTATATATATATAAAAAGAGAATAGATTTTTATGATCATGTTTCAGTATCTTCGTATACCTGTGTGTGTGTGTGTGTGTGTGTGTGTGTGTGTGTGTGTGTGTGTGTGTGTGTGTGTGGAGTGTGTGTGGTGTGTGAAAGAGAGAGAGAGATAGAGAGAGAGAGAGTGTGTGTGTTGTGAGAAAAAGAGAGAGAGAGAAGAGAGAGAGAGAAAATAACCCAACATCTTCCTTATAATGATTCATAATCATTTGTTATTTGTCGTACTAAACCGTTGTCATATTGCTGTAAATCATGTACATCATCATCGTCATCGTCATCATCATCGTTATTATCATCATCATCATCGTTATCATCATCATTATCATTGCCGCTATTATAATAACTAAGTCATCATCACCATCAGTTTTGAATGATTCCATATTTTAACTTGCTAACCAGTAAACTATAAATAAACTTAATAATAAAATAAATATTCACCAAAAAATAAATGTAAATATTAATAATCGGGTGATAGTGCTTTAATTGTTTGTTTGTCTGTTTTTACTGGTTGTTTGTTTGTTCGTTCGTTTGTTTGTTTGACTGTTCGTTCGTTTGTTGGTTTGTTTTCTTACTTTTTTAACATTACGTCCTATTGTATACTTTACCTACATACACTGTGTGACATTGGCTTAACATTGGGATTGTTCCTGTTGTTGTAATGCGATCATTAACTATCCTACCGAATATTCGGCAAGTCGGAGTCGAATTCTGCCGGATATTGATGAAAAAAAGTCTGAAATTCAACCAGAATCTGAGCCAAACAAC